CTAGCTGCCATGAGAAAGCACACACATCAGCAGAACAGACCGACACCCACCCACCCACCCACCCACCCACCCACCCACCCACCCACCCACCCACCCACCCACCCACCCACCCACCCACCCACCCACCCACCCACCCACCCACCCACCCACCCACCCACCCACCCCCACCCACCCACCCACCCACCCACCCACCCACCCACCCACCCACCCACCCCACCCACACCACCCACCCACCCACCCCACCCACCCACCCACCCACCCACCCACACCCACCCACCCACCCACCCACCCACCCACCCACCCACCCACCCACCCACCCCCCCACCCCACCTCCCACCCAACCCCCACCCACCACCCACCCACCACCCACCCACCCACCCACCCACCCGCCACCCACCCACCCACCCACCCACCCACCCACCCACCCACCCACCCACCCACCCACCCACCCACCCACCCACCCACCCACCCACCCACCCACCCACCCACCCACCCACCCACCCACCCACCCACCCACCCACCCACCCACCCACCCACCCACCCACCCACCCACCCACCCACCCACCCACCCACCCACCCACCCACCCACCCACCCACCCACCCACCCACCCACCCACCCACCCACCACTCCCACCACTCCCACCCACCACTCCCACCCACCCATGCACCTCCCGCCCACCGACCCACCCATCCGACCCAACCCACCCACCCACCCAACCCACACCCACCCACCCAACCCACACGCGCCCACTTAACCCCCACACACTTACACTTACACTTACACTTACACTTGCACTTACACTTACACTTACACTTACACTTACACTTACACTTACACTTACACGCACGCACGCACGCACTCACGCACCCACACACCCACACACCCACAAACTTACACACTTAAACACTTAAACACTTGCACGCTTACACTTACACACTTACACAACCACACACACACAAAGACAAGCTTGCACACAGCCACACCCACAGTTAAAGACACACACACACACAACGAAGTCAGACGTTTTTGCCAACCGCTTTCACAAGGTGTTGAAGACAAGCGCCCCGCATGCCCGCGCAAATTCCATCTATCGGTTAGACCTCTTCAAGTTGTGCGCTTTGGTTTCCCCTTAACGCCACACAACTTGAAAAGGCCCTCCCTCCACCTAAGAAACCAGCTACGAGCAACCCTACGGGAAATCCTTGCTTTGGGTTGACATCATCTGCAGGTCTCTTCCGCGCCTTGAGGACGCCCCACTTCACGCTGGAGCCTTGGACCCATGATCGTCATGAGTCCACCCATAGTGGAAGCTCAAGGAATTGTCTGCGACATGCCGCTAAGTGTCATGGTGCCCAAAGCTGAACAAAAATACATTGGTTGCCCAAGCCCGTCTTCCCCTTCCATCATCCCAGTGAGCATGCTATCCTCCTCCTCGTCCTGGAAGTTTAGTTCGGTCGATAAATGACGTATCATAATTTATCTTCACAGCCTGCTTTTAAGCTTTGCGCATGTCATGCTGGCCTAGTGTATCTGGCCAAACACATCGTATGAGCGTAATAATTAGCCTAAGTTCACGTTGCTCCCTTCCGCCGACGTTGCACTCACCAGATGCTCATGCAGCCTCAATGGGCTCAACCTGTAAAACATCCAGTGAACGCTCAAGTGGGAACAACCAGCGGGGTCACAGCGCTTTCTGCTGCACCCCAGGCTATTGCAATCTGAATGGGGCGCCTACTGAGTATTCGATTTCACGAAACTAGGGCTGCTCCACTTTGGGTCTTGCCAAAGACCCTTCAGCCACCGATCCCCAATGCCAAATGGACCCAAAGCTGTTAGCTTGTATTGTCATTTGGCATTCAACAAAGCTCTGCTTGGCAGCGGGTCAATTGCCTGCCGCAGCTGTTGACGCCTTTCCCGTCATCCAAGGCGCCCTCGGCGGACTTGCCGAAGTCGAATTCCAGCCCATCCTCGCCAATCTTCAACATTGAACATGGGGTTGACCCAAAGGGTGTCCTTTTCTCTGGGACCCTCTCAGGCGGTACAACATGGAACCAGGTTCCGCATGGGCTTACCTTTGCCAGCCCAACAGCTCCTTCCATAAACTGGCAACCCCCAAACGCTGAGTTCCGTTCTGGTTCCGCTCGCATCCTTTCGTGCCTACGAGTAGTCACCAATGCGGTACCCTGATTCTCTAGTGAGCCACTCAGACCCGCGAAATCTGCAGAAAGCGTCCCAGTAACAAAATGCAGCAACCCAAGGAGAGTCGCAAGGCTTGCACTTCTGTTTCTTTCCCGTGGCGCACCAACTGGCCCCGAGCGTTGCATGATGCTGTTTCCAGAGCCGTCAGGGTCCTTGCCGATGCGCAGGGGCGGGCCGCCTTTCATGGCCTAGGACGGACCGAAGGCAGAAGCAGCGCGTGGTATTTTTTCAGCGTTGGGGCCTTCAAAGGGAAATGCCAGCATGAATTCACAGGGTTTGTGGTCTGCTTGAACTTGATTGGCAATCTTGCTGGTGCCACCCTCTTTGACAGTGGAAGGAACTAAACCCCATCTACCTAGTGACTCACAATGCCAAGTGCAAGGTGGAAGAGGGGCTCTCAAAGCAGGAACGCCACTCAAAAGCCAAGTTGTTTATCCTTGCGAGGTCGCTACATTTCACACACATCTATCTGCGGCAAATCAAAACTGCAACCCAAATCAGCCCTGTTGCATCCCGAAAAGCCGCACCTTCGCGAGGGAATCGGAGAAATCCTGGCTCACCTCATCCTGCGCGCGCTTCCACGGTCACAAGTTGGCCCACGACAGCACGGCATGCCACAACTATCAATCAGTGAGTGGCCCGGGGGCCAGGGGTCAGTTGCTTTTGCTTTTACTGCGGAATCAAGATGGAATAGCACCGGCACGAAGCCAAAATGCAAGAAGCAAACATACAATCAGAAACTGTGGTAACTAATGCCCATGAAAACATCGCAAACTGTGGTCTCCGGGGTCCATTCAATCTGTGGCATCCATTGCAATGTTTCATTGTGACCCGCGCCAGGCACATCTGCTCGAATCACTACTCACTAACCTCAAGAACTGCACACTCGTCACAGCTCGCTCGCCTTTGCAAAACCCTGCCTTGGCTTTGGGCGGCTGCGCAAAGGACCAGGGAGAACACAGGCAGCCAACCTGAGGCTGTGGCTGCTACCGCCATGACTGACGACACACCACAGAGTAACTGCATACGTCTCACTCACACCTTGTCCCACATGCCTGTCGGCACACTTTGACTTTGATGGTAGTGCAAAGATGTACAAATGAGCGTTGTTGTTCGTTCCCTTCACAGTTGATTGGAGATGTTTCAAGCTTCCGCAAACCCTTCCGCATCCCCTTCAGCGGAACCAAAGGTTCCTTCTGCAGACTTATGTGTGTTTCATCGGTTGCTTCCACTTCCTTCCATGGCATACGTCGCTTCCACGCGTGTGGCGTGGTGCACATGTTCCAGACTAATGTCCCTCTCCCTACTGCTTTGAACTTGGGGGCAAAACACCGACACTCAAATGGACTGATCAGTCGTTAAGCTGGTGGCTTGTACACATTCCCGCTATCCGCCCCCTTTTCCTGGCAAGAAAACCAACCCAGACCAAATCCTGGGATCAAACTTATTGCCAAACTGGGACACGCACCTGAGAGCAGGATGAGGCGTGACATGGAGTGCCTGTGCACAAGTAGAGAACACAATGAAACTTCCTGCAAAGAGGAAAACCAAACAAATAACAAGCTGGATACCTGGCCACAGGTCCAGGCTTGATTTACACCACGGCACATTCTTTGAGACTCATGAATGTTCGGTGCTCAAACGCGTCTTTCAGGGTTGATTCCCCATTGTTGATAGCCATCTTCTTTTACAAAGGTAACCTCTCTTTCTCGTTTTGTAGGTTTCCCAAAAGAAGCATCTTTGCAAAATGGGAAAGTTACCCCAGAGTCAGATTAACCTGCACTGCCAGGATACAGCAAGTGCTGCCGGCAGCGCCCGGCGGCGGGTCATGGCAAGGTCCGCCAGCGAACAAATTTCTGTCTGTGTGTTTGGTTTGTTCTCTTGTTTGTATTGCTGTATTGCTGTATTGCTGTATTGCTGTATTGCTGTATTGCTGTATTGCTTGCTTGCTTGCTTGCTTGTTTGCCTGCCTGCCTGTTTGTTTGCTTGTTTGTTTCTTTGTTTGTTTCTTTGTTTGTTTCTTGTTTGCTTGTTTGTGGCTGTCTTTTGTTAGTTCACACGTGCGTTCGTTCGTTTCCCACTCTCGGGCATGGCTGCTTGAGTGCAGTGCTGCACGTCTTCGAATTCGCTGACTTGTCTTACAAAGCATACTTTGCTCACTGTGCCCAGCCTGACCTCAATTGCGGCAGGGATAGCTCATGATGAACCTAAGATATGCCAAGTCGTTGATTCATCCAAAGTCAGGATCAGCGCTCCCGCCCGAGCCAGGCAGCGGATTAGGGGCGGATCAGGGCTTCTTTTGGCAGATACGGTTAGCAAGCCTAAGCTGAATCCTACGTGCACCAGGCGCAGCTGGAGCGATCAATGTGACGTATGTGAGGTGTTAATCGAGCTTCCGCCCTGCCAGCTGTTCAAGAACAGATCAGACTGATGAAGATGGTGCCCTCCTCAAGTCTTTTCATGTTGCCAATGTTGCCTTTCAGCTGAGCAGCTCCATCTTTCCCAGAGAATACCCTCCTGTCCACTAGCATGGAACCCACCGGGACCCACCATAGGGCTGCATGTTGGTGGACGGGACGGTAGTCTACTCTGGTTGGCTTCTTCGAGGGCCTTCACCAAGCGCTTTGGGGGGACTTTTCGGGGTTTGAGCTGTCCAACGCCCGGACTTGCTGAGATGAAGCCACAAAAGATCCACAAACGAGTGAATTAGTCTAAGAGTCTAAGTTGCAGTAGATGTGGTTGCAAGCGCGGTACAGTGAGGGCCCTCCGTTTTGTGAGCCCCGCTTTGAAGGTCTCCTGCCTTGGCGCCTCGCGGCTTCGCGAAGCTGCTACGCCCCAAATCTTCATCCATGGGGACGGAGAAAGAAGGCCGTCTCAAGGCCAGGGTTGGTCGGAACACCCCGAGGGGGTGCTTCAGGTGGGGTGTCTGTTGGTGAGTTGAAGGGAAACCATAAGAACCCCACCATTTTGCGGGTCCCTTATTTAAAAACATACGCAGGTGTGCCTCACGACCCTCTTGAGTGGCTCATGGAAGTGGGGCAGGATTGGTCAGGTATGGGGCTTGAGAGATGTTTTGAGTGCCTGCCGAGCAAAGAAAAGCAGGCAGCGTTGAAACAAATCAATTCCATTGGAGAAGATCCTGTCAGCCGACTCGAATGCCAATGCCTGAGGCAATCGTCTTGGTAAGGTGACATGCCGCTTCCAGCAAGCATTTCAGTCGGACTCACACTTTCCCCTAATCTCCCCTCAATCAAAGCAAGTCAACTGCAGGCGAACATGCTGAGCACGACAGATCCCCCTCATTTGTCCAGCCACTCTGGCCCAACACTTCCGATTCCATGGGGATTCTGAATGGCCTTCAGACACACACACACACACACACACACACATGGCGCCTCGCCCAGCAGCTTTTACGCGTGACACAGGCACGCTCACATCATAAAGATGCTGCTGAAATGGATGGACGCGAACCTGCGGCTGCATGTACTTCGCTCCGTCTTGGGACAAATTGGCGTGTCTTCAAATGGGGACCCCCCTTTGGTACCATCGAAAACAAACAACCACACCCACGCACCCAAATAGGATTGACAAGGTGTTTGAAAGTGCTTTGCCGTATGATTCAGCTGATTGTTTCTGTGTACTCAATGCTGAGCGGCATTAAAACAGGCGATTGCATGCCTTTGTCAGTTCATCAGCGCAAACAAGTCACCCTGTGATCAGTTGTAAACATTGCGACGAAGCACAACTACATGCCAGCCACTTGATCTTGTGTAATTGGCTATGCGGAAGCTGTGTGCGCCCTTGCCTTGCGCATTCTTCCTGGCAGCGGGACAACGAGGTGCTTGTACCATCGAGCAGCAAGTAGAACTCGCGCTCGCACCACCTGTCAAACGGCTTTGGCCCAGCAGTTGCTTCCATCCAGTGCACAGCATTCTGAGTGGAACGTGCCAGGCAGCAGTTTCCTCAAACACTTCAGCTAAGCAAAAGCACCAACCTCACGGCCTGCTACTCCGCCGGAATTGCATCCGCGCAGTTCAATTGTGAATCTACACATCACAGACCGTATCTTACGTGGTTTTTTGCAGATCCCTTTGCGTCGCTGAAAGGGCCCGGTGTTCGCGAATGGCCTCTTGGCACAAACCCAGCCACGCTCCGCAGACTTCCAGGACACCTGCGCGGGCACAACCGGTCAAGCCGAAGACCATTGCATGTCACGAGAGGACAATAAACAGGATTCACGGCAAAGGGGGGGGCATAAACAAAGCGAATAGTTTGAAGGTTCTGTGCTGGTGAAAGACATCATTGGATCAGGTGTAGCGCGCAGCGCTGCGCGGCTCACATGCAAATGCAAAAGTGAAACGTTGGCGGCAGGCCATGGTAGATGCAGTGGCCTGAATGCCAAGAAATCTTGGAACATCATGAAAGCTGGGCACCTACAGGGCGTGTTGCTCTAGACCGTGTCGCTTAGTAATCCAGTTGAGCCATCTTCTTCCGGGCGCAAGCTTGAGTGGCTCTGAGGTTTGAGCTAGAAAGTTATTCCAAGATTCAGCTGTTTGGGGGAAAACCGGTGTTATACAAACAAACAAACACACACGCACAAACAAACAAACACTCGCACGCACGCACGCATGAACACACACGCGCACCATGCACGCAAGCATGCACGCACGTGTGCTTGAGGTAACAACACAGGCACACGTTGAACGGAAAGTGTCATTAATGTCCCTTGTCAAATGCTCTGTGCCAATGGTTGCATGCGTGAAGGGTGACGCACGCATATATTTGTGCGGAGGCATACATATATATATATATATATAGAGAGAGAGAGATATGCGTATCTAAATATATTTGTAGATGTATGTATGCACAATGTATACCGGTTCTGTTTGCATTCCAAATGTTCAACTGTTCAACTGCCTCGCCTAAAGAACACCCTTTTGGGATGTGCTGTGTCTACGTCGGCATCTGTCTCATGCTGCCTCACCTTGCACTTGCAAATACGGAATAGGGCTACTCATCATTGATTGGTTAGTGCTCGGACACCCTTAGCCCTTGTTGATATGGCTGGCAGGGCTATGCCTCTCTACCCGTTCCAGTTGGCCGAGCTCTGCTAATCCAGCCTCGCGGCACTTGAGCTTGGGATCCTCAGCAACTGACTTTGCAAGCGGTTCAATTCGATGCGTGGTAAGGACTGACCTCAAACGTATCCCAGTTCGATGTGCCAACCGGCCCAGACTCTCAGACGCGTCTGTGGATGAAACAAGGGATGGAAAATGCCAAAAGATGCCAGGGATGGCAGTTTAGCCTCCCATGAGGTTTCGATTGGGACTCCGGACCATTCCCCACAAACCGGGGGAGGGAGGTGAAGCCCTACCACCGCTTTTTGAGCCTTTCCGAATTCCCCAAGATAAACATTAAAACATGGCAACTCGCCACCAACCGCATGGAAGCCCCTCAATATCAGGTTTTCGGGGTCCCTTTTGTTTTTTGGGCCACTTTTGTTTTCTTTCTCCTGGCCTCTGGGACTTTTGCTTTTCACCGGACAAGACCCCGGCGGCCAGGGTGGCGTGCATGGGCGCCAGCAGCGGCTTCTCCGCCGGCTTGGGGCCCTTGGCTGTGACCCGCGAGCCCAGCAAGGACCTGCCGACATTGGGGTGATGCGTGTCCTTGGCGTCGCTTTGAAACCATCCCAAAGGGAGGAGGATTCCTCTTTGGGGTTCGTCGGAAACCTGAAAACGGAGCCGAATGAGGTTCAAGATGAGCAACACCCTCATTGCTTCCCAGGGCGCCAAGGGGTTCATGCAAGTCGGACCCGAGCTTGAGAGGACAAAGGATTTCCGAGGCACTTCGGTCAAGAGCCTATGGAGGAAGTTTGCTGGCACGGAACTGGTCCCATTTCGTAGAACTCGCTGGGCGAATTTTGAATCGCCCACCAATGCTTTCACTTCGGACTCATGACTTCGGAGCGAGCTTAGCCCCTGTAAATGGAGGTGGTCGACTCGCTTCGGAAGGTTTGTCTCGTGGTGACACGCACTCAGTATGTAATGAGTTCAGATTTGTTGCTCTACTTCATGCTGCCAGAAAGGTGCACCTGCCCTCTTGAGCGTGTCAAGTACGCGAGTACCGGGGCAAAGATCGAGAGAACTGGGTGTGTCTCACAATAGGGACCGGCAGGCTGGTTGTTTTCCTGTTGCCTTTTACTGAGAGGCAACCAAAAGAGCCAAGCCAATAGTTAGCTTTTTCAACCATCATAGTGCGTTCAACCAGGTGGCGTACTTAAGTGTGGTGAGGCAGGGAGAGCCACACCCAATCCAAGTGATCATCAGCTTGTCTTGTTCACTCAAATTGCTGGAGCCATTGAAGTCAGTTGGCCGCTGGGCACGTTGGGCCAGGTGTCGACGTACAGCTTCGACGTGGCGGGCTCTACTCACGGTGCGTGGGTGATTCTCGGCTTTCTTATCATTCGAGCCTTCAAGCGGTTGAGACAAATACAAGTAACAGTCCAAGGCATCTCTTGGGCAACCCAAGACCAACCTATCAACTTCCTGGATATTTTCCTGGTAGTTCTCGTCTTTAACTTGGTTTTCCTAAAAATCGATGTGTTTTTAGTGAAGTCACCTACAACTACTAAACTCCTATATGTGCGTGAGATTGCAGAATTGGTTCTTTGTTACGTTTTGCAAACGCCCGCGAAACCCGCAGACGCCTGCAAATCAGGAAAACACAACTTTTTTTGGGTTCGGGGGTCGCCCAAAACTCCTAGAAAGCATTTAGAACGTGCAACATGCCCAAAACTACCAGGAAACCAAAACGCCTAGGAAAAGGCCGGAGAATGAATCTTCAGGCTGGATAGAGACGCTATGAGCCACTCTCAGCGTACCCCTTATGTTGTTAGGCCCTTTGGCGATCGAAGATTAGGGGAGCCCTAATCCCGAAATCAACAGCAAATGGAAGTGCCAGCAGTCCCACCGACGGGTGTCAAACCATCCGCTCGCGAAAACAAACCATGGCGGAGGTAGTGTTGAGGAAGCTAAACCAGGCAACAAACCAACCTGCAAGCGTCGCTCGAAGTCGCCGGCCCCATTTGGTGCATGGTTCCAGGGAAACAACCAGGAGCCGACCGTTTTAAGGGATGCCCTGATTGAAACAGCCACGGAGGGTGGCTGGCAGGTGAGTTTCCTGACAAAGCGCATGCGCACAGGTTCCCGCCTGGAGATGCTCGCCTGCGGCTGGCCAACGTGAAAGGATAATCCATGTCTATTGAATCAAACGGAGCAACTTACTACAAGTCACAACTAAAACAAGCTCACAAGGGTAAAACCGTGATAAAGCCCAAAACTCGTTAACCGTGCTCTGCGCGGGATATGGAATGTGAAGACACAATAACTGACAACTGGAACAAAAGCACTACCATGACTACAAGTTCAATCATGGCAATTGCAAAACCGGTGGCCAAACAATGAGCGAAACGATGGACACTGCAGAACCAACACCATCATAGGAAGACTCAGTGAAATCAGTCCCTAGCCACGCCTGATTGGAGAGTCTTAGCGCATGATTCGTGTGGTTGTAGTACACGAATCGGTACTCATCCTGGCAGCTCTCAGTTGCTGTATTCGGAAACTGAACCGTATTCGGAGACTCCGTGGTGAAGGCCACTCATCATGGGTGCCCTCTTTTGACCCCTAGGTCAGCTCGTTTTTACTGAACTTGCCAAGCCACCATCACCCCCACACCTTTCCGTCCGCCCCATCGCAAGCGCGACCTCTTGCTCCATGACCTGCTCGTGCTGCGGCACGATGAGAGGATGCAGCTCTGCCAAGGAAAGGCCATCACCCTGGGCAAGCGGAAGTGGCACTGAACAGGTTTGGAAGTCGCAAGCTGAAGACTGATACAAACGCCTGCTAGACAACTGTTGTAAAATGTTTCTACATCACGGGATCAATCAATCTCGACTTGAGGGGCTTTCTTGGGCCAGCATGGCGCTCGTGTACATAAAATGTCACACACACACACATGCCTGCATCCACTTGGTATGTTGATTTCTCTCACACAGCAAGTAATGTAAATCCCCATCTTCGCTGGATGCGATAAAATGTAACTTGGGCATCGGCATCAGCCTTCAACGGCATTTTGTTTGCGTGTTGTGCGTTCATTTTCCACAGCCCCCTGCATCTTCAGGGCTTGGACAATTCCCAGCGAACATATGACATGGCGTACTCACAGCTGTCCACCTGCCATCAGGCGAAAAAGACTAAGATACAGCATCGATTGTGGCCTCAAACCTGAGATGCAACTTCCATTGACAGGCTTGAACACGTAATTCCGCCCGGTACCAAAGAAAGGCATACGCTTTTTCTGCAAAACAGGATTCTCGGCCAGCCAAATTTCTTGCCCTGGAGCACTTCGAACCCCCGCACCGAGTTACCCACTGAGGAGCGGTTGCATGTCTCGCGCAACGACTCCAGCAACCTGGCACGGGCGCTCGCAGCCCGACTTGCAGTGAGTTACCCCTTTTCAACGCTTGAAGAAAGCCAGTAAGCAAACCGGGAACACGACGGAACATGGGTGTCCCATGGCTAGAGACCTTGATGTGACAAGCCTTGCTTCAAGCAGCCTGTCTTTCCACTGCTGGTGTTTCAAGTCACACCCAGTCACTGAGTAGTTCTAGACTTGCACTACAAGTTCGAGAGCACTGTCAATGAGGAAGCAGGTGGGCTTCATGTTGAAGGCAGACCGCAACAATGTGGGTGCTTGCAACCAGGTCTCAAAACGTCTTCGTTGTGGCCACAAATGTTAGAAGTGGAAGTGCTGAATCCACCACCCGCCGGCCGCGCCGGTGCCCCTGAGAGGCCCTGTAAACGAGGAAGGGGCTCGTTCAGTTTTTCCCTTTACCGATGTAGATCGAAGCGCTCAAGAGGCAAACCGGCCTGATGTCTATGTGAGCCTCTGCCTCAAAGATGAGCACCAACATGATCTAGGCGCGCGAGCGCTTTTGTTTGACAGGACGACCGACTCTGTCAACAAGTCTGGCTTAAGTGGCGGATGTTGATGCCGGCTTCGAAACCGACGGCTGCAAGCTGATGTCACGCAGCGCTTTCAACATTGATCGCATTGCAAAGAAATGAAATCGGACGAGCACCGACCTTTCTCAGTGGTGGTGAGAACAGCCGCACTCGTCTAGATTGGAGGCTGAAAGAAGAACCCAGCAAGAAGTCCAAAGACCAACTCCCAAACAAACCGAGCCACAGGCCGAAGGGCTATCATGCCCTTTCGTGCCGAAAGCTTCGTGAAGTGCTGCGAAGGACTCACACTGCTGAACCTGAACCTAGCTCAATGGAGATGAGAGCCCGGCGCCGCGGTAGGTGAGCGCAACCAACTGCCCAGGCCCACTCTCCAAATGCACCGCGGGCACAAAGATGGACGAAGGCCTGGCGAACTTAAAGTCTCAAGGTGCCAAAGATTGGTGGTGTCGGACCAAAAATAGCCACTCCTGAAAAGAAACAAAGTAAGGGCAGGTCTTGCCATTTCAGGGGCCTGGTGGCTTCCGTGGGAGAGCTTGCGAAGAATCACCTTCAAACTTGATGGGCTTCAAAGTAAAGGTTGCAGAAACACAGTGCAATAGAACGACAACCCCAGCCTGTTGACTAATATGGATGGCTCCCAGGATGTATGATCGCCCAACTGTTTGGCTTCTTTTGGCTTCCCTTTGCGCGCCATCCAATCAGGGAGCCCCACATTTAAGACACACGGCCACCAAGTCTCTCAGGTTCAAATGATGAAACCTTGCTGTTTGAGATGGGCACTACGGATGGATTTGCAGAGTTTTGCAGGTGTTCCTCCAACCTCTCACGGGACACGTTTGCAACAGCTCGGCGAGAAGCTGAAGCAGCTGACGCATTGTGAGACCATACCGCCACCGCTCGCATGCCACATGCTCACATGCAACATGTTGCTTTTGTTGCTCTTAATCAACCCAGAAACCATACCCTGTTGCCATTTGTTGACATCTTTGAAACTCTCAAACTTCTGGGTGTGAATGATGAGCCAGCGTGCGGCCGGGTGAGATTGGGCCCACATTGGGGCGTCCGGTCTGGCTTGGGCCACACCCTGAGCCAGGACTCTCCTCACTCACCGGGCCTGAGGCTGGAGATTTGGAGATTCTAGCAACAAAGCCCCCAAGTTGCCCGGATTTCCGTAGTTCGGAGACTTGAGGTACTTTGGCACAAGCAACAAATGACATGCAAAGGATCCGAGGACGTGAGCATGAGAGTTTTCATGAAATACGGTTCAATGCAATCATCTGCAATGCAATGCAATGGCATTGCATTGCAACGCAGCGTGAGGCAAGCAAGTGTGATGTAACTAAGGGTGTAAATATATGTATTATATACATATATGCTGACATACATATCATGCACATGTATAAATACATATACATGTAAAGATATCAGCAGAACATCATACATGCATACAAATGTACACATAGACATACTATATGTATATATATACACATGCATATACATACATACACCCTATGTATACACGTTTGACAACTAGACATAAACACACACACACACACACACACACACACACACACACACACACACACACACATGTGTGTGCAACTATGCACATACATGCATACACACATGTACATGCATATTACATTGTATATGCTCACATAATATTGTATGCATAATATATATATATATATACATATCTAACGTATAGTCCACATACATACTTATGCTACCAATGCAACAAACAGAAGAACAGCAACTAGTAATTATTTGTGCTTCCTGCCTTAGCCTTGTGCAACATCTCCGCGCAGGCCCTCATGGTTGGCCTCCTTTGAGAGTGCGCTCAAAACATATGGAGACCAACCATCCCCCAAAGGGGTTCGACAAGAAACCAATTTGATCAGCAAGGCTAATCGCCCGTCCCCCCCCCCCACCCCCCGGCACTACCATAGCAGCTCTGGTCAAGCTTGCCTCAATGCACACATTTTCCAAGGATATGCATTGGAGACGTCCCACGTCCTGCGTGCCCCATCCCACTTGCCCAGGAAACAAACAGGTTTTGCCTTGCTTTGTGAACTGGGCGTTGACTTTAATTACTGTAGGGACCCTTGGTGAACATCCGAATTCGTTGAGGATTCATGTCCACCAGCAAATCGGAGGTGATTCCCTGTTAAAATTCACAGACAATTGTTGTCCTCCTTTTGTCTGCTTTTAATCCAACTACAACGAGTCCATAGCCAACTGGGTGACTGGGTGGAGGTTGCTTGGAACTGGCCAGGTCATTCCACTTGGCTTCCTGGCCGAAACCACGCACCTGCAGCACCCGCTGCCTGGCAAACGGATGCGAACGGGGCTCAAACCCCAAAACATCCTAAATAGAATCTGGAGAGGATTGATTTTGCAAGGTTGCATGCTAGTGCCCAAACAATTCAGCAGGCTCACTGTCATGTTTCTGGCAAAGACCGGAGCTCCAACACGAATACATTACCTGGAAGCCTGGGTTGGGAGTGTGGCGGGATTACAGCAGGCTTCCTTATATGTCCTTTTTTAAGCATCACTCTACCACACGGGAATTTGCTAAAGATTGACCCTAAAGGTGGTGCTAAAATCACAAAACAAGGCAACTACAAGGAGCCCTGCACCAGTGGCAACTTGTCTCACTGCGTGTAAACAACTCTATCAGCAGCGATCATAACAAATCTAACAATGCACTCCAAATACACGTTCAGAAGTGACCCATTGGAGAAAGTGACCTTGTGCTCTGGCAAATGCTCTTTGCCGTGAACACGCTGTCAATAAACATGGCACAAGCACAAACAAACCATACTCAAGCACACACACGCACACAGCGCCTGGTTGATGTGCAAGAGCGGCGAAGGAACCGAGCTATGCTCTACCTGAGCACTAGGAACTTGTTGGCAAGCATTCAGCACCTAGCTAAGGACATAGGACATGAACACTGTTTGGCCGCCTATTTAACGATCATGTTGCATACACTCAAAGCGCAACGTCAAGCAGGTGCATCGGAATCTGCCATTCACCAGGCAAGCCAAGAACATCTCCCTGAAATGGATAATATGGACTTTTGACAAATTCCCAACTGCAGTTGCTGACGCAAAAGCTCGAGCCTGCACATACACACACACACACTTTCAGACACATGTAAGCTCAATGATAATAACTTTGTCAATCAGTTGCCAACTTGGAAATCTGTGACAAACGTATTAATTACTTTTGTATCAGTTTATCGGGCAGTCATAAATTTGGACGCACCTGCCTCCGAATGGTGCATGATTGCTCTCTCTCATAAGGTGCTTACTTTCAAATAGCACTGTTGCCTGAATAAAAATTGGCAAGTAGCCGCCTACATCGTTTTTACTTTCCAGTGAGGTGGACGTGGTCAAAGCTGCCAATTACTACTGATTCATATGGCCCACTGGCTTGCGTCTTTCCCGCACCAGGTCGCTCACCCCAAAGCAATGTTCCCAAACCCGGGGTAAAGAGAACACCCATCGCGGATCCCATCCAGGGCCCCCGCCAGCTTCCGCTCCTGGGAGTTCAGATTCAGCAGCGTGGACAGCACTGGGACCAGGGACCTAGCTACGTTGACCGCAAGGTGTCACATGCGAATAACTTGACTAGACCCCGCAACAAATATGTTGATCAGTGGGAAAAAGAGAAAGGGGGACCTCAAAAGGGGCAAACAGGTTGGCCAAGTGTGACAATGCACAAAACCAGAACCTTTGAGACAGTGACTTGACATGGAATCAAACTGGAACAACAGGCCAGCGTAACGTTGAAGCGTTGCAACAGTTGCTTTGGGCAACTTGAATGGAAAGCAACACTCGAGTCATGCTCCTGGGGGCAAAGCACATTGGACCAGCAACGTCAAATTACCAGGTGCTTTCACATGTCAATCAGAACGTGTGCAATATCTGGGCAAAGGACTGAGACTTCATGTCGCCCTTCTGGCAGTACTCGATGTACTTCAGGACCACGTGCTTCAGGTAGTCACCTGATACTTCGGAGGTGCTCAGCAACGCCAATGTTCCCTGAGTCTCTTGGAAGGGTAACGATGCCCAGGATTGGGACCCTCTAGGCCACCTTGCTCTGGTGAAACATCACGTGCCGAATCATTGGACAACCAGGGCAAAGCAATTACCGTCTTGTCGGCCAAATGCTCGCCCCACATTGTACCTCGCGTGTTTAATAAGACTTGAAGGATGCTATTGCGTGGCAGGTGCTTATTATTACCTGTGAGTTGTTCTTGCTGCATGCGAAGGAACGCAAGTGTTTTTGTTGATGCATTAAAGTTGACATTCCAAGTCATAGAAACAAACAGCTCCTCCTCCTCCTCCTCCTCCTCCTTACTTTTATTACCATAATCACCATCATCACCATCATCGTCACAATCACCATCACCATCACCATCACCATCACCATCACCATCACCATCACCACCACCACCACCACCACCACCACCACCACCACCACCACCACCACCACCACCACCACCACCACCACCACCACCATGATCATGATCATCATCAGCGTAATCACATATCATCGTTGCTGCCATCACAATAGTCGCCCTGGTCGGCAGGCTCGTCATCATGAACACACTCGGGAACACCCGCTTTTGACCGCGACTAATACCCAATCATCAGGAAAGTGCAACCTTAGCTGAAGTGTGCTCTATGTTGCGTTGGGTCCGGAAAATGAGAACAATCCACCTCATTGACGCTTCCTTGAAGGGAAATCGATAGTTTGTGTCATTGGCAAGTTTACAACCGAAACACTTAGTCAGAGAAGCCTGGCCTTCTTCCAGGCGAAGCGCATGTCCGGAAAACAAAGCCAGAACATCAACATGCGCAGCTGTGTCAAAAGCATGGGCTTTCTGGGAAACGTGGCCTTACACAGCACACCATTCTGACAGGGGGGTTTGGTGACATGGCAAACACAAACATCCCGCGACCGCACCTGCCACATGAGTCCGCCCTTGACTGGATTCCAGCTCGCGGATGCGATCTTTCAGCACCTCCGAACATGTTCAGTGGAAAGGCATGTGAATCAGGATCGTTGAATTGCCCCTTCAAACAGTTGGCCCTTTGCAGGTAGGTTTTAGCAAATTTCAAGGCAAGGGAAAACAAAAGGGACTCCAGTGAATGGGCAACGCTCTTGGATGCCGCTAAAGCCAAAGGGACATTTGAACCAACGAGCTCCTAACCCTTCCAAATGGGTTGTATTTGTTGGTGCTCTGTAGACATTCCCAAAAATGTGCCCCTGGTTTTACCCCATTCCTAAAGCCCGCTCGAAACCTCAGACCCAGTCACTGTATCAATCAAGCTCTACCAAAGCCAATTCTCGCTGTCAGTGAAGTGGAACGAAGCCCACCTCTTTGCTGACGCCTACGATTCAACACGAAATAGTTCAGAAAGCGCAGTTCATGTTCATGGCCGGCTTCAGCTTGATACTTGTTAAGCCACCCCCAACGGAGATGCCTAACACGCGCGGTGCCAATCTCCAATGAGGAATACTTGCCGGGATGCACTCCTGCATCTCCAGCGATCCAAACGTGTTGTTGCTTGGAGGAACGCTGGGCTGCTTTCTACCTGATATGGATACATTTGCGCCCTTGCATGGAATGCTCAATGCATGATAAACTCATTCTGTTGACGCTTGCTGGTTTCCGTTCGAAGCAAAATCAACGCCACCGCAAGTCGACTGAGCTCTGAAAAGACTGTGAGCAAGGTGGCGACTCTATACGGATTTGACTTTTTGCTTGCGGGCCCTTCGCTAGCATCTTGTGGGTGGGATTGTTCTCTATTGAAATTCAGAGCCACCTACCTCTGCTTGAGTCTGGTTCAGCCACCTAAGCTCGGTTTCAAAAGCTTCGCTATTTGTCCACCGTATTCTTTAGGCTGGATTCCAATGCGTGCCTTCTCTTGCGCATAGCTCATCTGGAGCATCTTCTGCACTTCGGCCAGCGACTGGTTCACATCTTGCACCTCTTGATTGAAGCAATGCGCGGCTATCATTGTTCAGTGTCAAGGAAGTTCTGCATGGTCTCAAATACCCAGCACTAAATAATTTCACTATTGAGGACTTAATTTTCTCGGAACAGATCATTCCCCAGACCAATGTCATTCCAGGAGCCGCATCAGCCTGGATATGTTTGCAACCCACAACAGTGGCCAAACTTGGCAGTGCACAGAATTGAATAGAAACCACTGGCACCTGAGTTTGCCAAAACATGAACCTCCATGCTTTCGACCCCGCATCGTTGCTTCCAAACGTCATCCCTTCACACGTGCCTGCAAATGATGCTTCTTCATCTCCACTTCCCGCAACGCCTGTGCCAATGCGTGGCCCTCCTGGGCCCGACCAGATCTGAGCTGCACGGGGGTCAGCGAAGGCAAGGACTATGTCCAAAGCAGCATGGCAACAAAGACCCGATGATCCCAACGATCCCAACCCTCCTTCCACTAGCAAAAAGCACTCCTACATTTGCAAGGAAACATTTGAATGTTATTTGTAGCCCCTTTGGTGGACATCATTTAGGAGGGGGTTCATGTCCACCAACCACTTTGAAAAACAATGAAATTCATAGGAAACAAAAGAACACAAACAACTAATTGAGCCGCACGAGCCAGGTCCATGCGGCGCCTGCTGCTCTGCGAGGTGGGTGATGAAGTCGTTGCTGGTGAGCTCCTTTCAACTGCCCCGACCTTTCACCAAGAGCCCATGGTTTGGTCCCATAAAACTGCTCCGACCACTCCAGAAACACAACTCCAGCTTCAAGGATGGGCTAAAGATCCAAATCTCATGCCAATGCGAGCTGCCATCATTCTTGCTCTTCATTCAGGGGGCTGGCAGGGCGCGGCAGTTTCTCTTTCCGCCTGCTGGAGGCCAGCATTGCTTCCGTAGAAACAAGCACTGCAACACATCCAGCTAACCTCAAATCTGCTCTGGAACATGCCGACGAGGACCCTTGCACTCTGGATGATGATTCGCCTCTTTTTCCGCCTCCACATGCCTCGCGGACATTGGGAAACCTCGCTCGTGGCTTCGCGCCCTTCTCACGGTGCGCGGCTCTGACCTGTGCAAGGGACAAACAGGACGAAAGGTGACACCCCAGGCTGGCTGGTGATAAACCGCACAGAAAGAATGGCATTTGGAAGCCTTTCTGTCAAACCTTAGAATGAAGCAACAAAGATAGAGGAAATGACTTGTCCTTCTCTACACTGGTTCTCTACTTTCCTAACTCTCTGCGCCCCAAAGCAAAGCAAATTGGGATTTGTTCTCCACTTGCCAAATCTCATGCGCTGCCACATGAAGCCAGTATCCGAAAAGACAATGAGGCAGGAACGTGTGACTTGTTCCTTCCCCAGCAAGTTTTTTCTGAACTAAACCATGCCCAAACTTGACCTAGGAAAATACACACACACACACATACGCACCCGTTGAACATGCGATTTGAGTCTGTCTCAAATTAGGGGAAGCCAAAAACTAGGTGGTTTCCTTTTGGTTTTCCTCTCACACAACCCTAGTAATAAGGGTACCCTCAAAAACCACACACCCCCTGCCCATTTCTGGCCTCACAGTTGTTGCATCGTCTCCTGGACGGCCAGCCACGTCATGCCGTTCACCACGTTGGTGTACCCGAGCTTCTCAAGCACGCTTTGGGCCATTGCTGCGCGGATGCCTGATGCAAACTCGGCGCCCTTGGGATTGCTGGGGTCATGAACCTTTAGGGTTTTTCGACCAGAAGGATTCCAAAGCTACGACCCACGTTGAGCTTGGACCATGGCAGATCTGGTCAACTGTATATACTTGGAAAACTAAGAACAAGCTTGGCTCCAGAACAAAGTCTAAACGTCGATTGAATTCTCAAATGGAGATGCGCATGAAATCCATGACTCTTTGGCTGTTTTAAAAGCGGCCCGCGGGAAACCAAGCATTTGAAAGGGGGCCTGGTCTTGGTCGCCACTTGGGTCTGGAACAAATGTGAAAACTGTCCATCCCATCGGGATTTCCCTTTAGGGAGAATCAACCAAGATGGGCTAAGAAACAACCTGCAATCGCTGTTTTGAAATTTGTTTTTTTCGCCACCCGTCCGTCTCTCCCCCCTTTCATCGCCACTTGCCTTTGGCGCAGAATACCACCACGGGTGTCTCCTTGTCTTTGGGCAGATCGCTGGCGCGCTGCTCTATCCTGGACAAAATCGAATGCAAATGTGACAAAATTCTGTGAGCCCCGGATTCAACAAAACCAATGGTTGCTGACAAGACAGCTCAATTAACAGGGGCGTCCATTGTATATAGTATAGGGGGGTCCTTCACTTCTCGGGGCAGCTACGGGACAGCAAAGTTGGGCGATGATATGCATTGTTTCTTTTGGGCATCCAGACACTTTCTTTGGAGGCCCTACTATTCATCAGCCCGATTTCTGGGATTCTCATGAGGTCTGCTGCTCACTCAACAGGCTTCAATGTTTGCTCCTCAATGCTTTGTTCTGCCAACTTCATCAGCCCCCAAGAACTGGGCCTGTCCAAAAACTGGTGTGAATCTTAAGGAAGGACGCTTTTGGAGACATCATTTAGGACGGGATTGATGTCCACCAGCCACTGGGGCGAGGAGGTTCCCTATCAAAATTCCTATTGAACTAGGGAACCATCTCGCGGATGACAAGGAAAAACGTCGAAAGGGCATCGACCGCCTCGAAATACTCACTTGCGAGCCCATGCCCAGAGAGTACCTGAAACTGAACAGGAACAGTGTCAGCTTGCACAGCAACCCACTACCGTCCTTCTCAAATGACCATCGGCAAATATACAGAATACATGTACATGGTACCCCCCGATGGATCTACCTTCCTTCAGAATGCGCTGGTATGTGCAGCGTGTTCTGCCTTGTTGGGGGCTTTGGGGAAGGCAGCGAAAAAGGCACATGTCCAACGACGATCTGAAAGCTTGAGGCCAAACTGCTCGAGGGAATCTTGAATCCAGTCGGTTTGGACATTCCTCTGTCGCATTTCTTCTCTGAAGTTTGGCTAGAAGATGCAAAGCAACAGCTAAGAATAATAGTGATAATAATAAAATGGAGCTAATGACCCACAAGTACAAAAACAGATATGCAAAATTCTGGAGCCGATGACTCAAAAGTACAAAAGTAAACAACAACAAAAGTAATGAAGTAAAAAAGCAGAGTAAAAAGTAAAACAGTAAAAACCAGAGGTTAAAACATAAGCAAACACATAAACCATTATAGTCTATGGTCAGTGCATTTTACTTCCATGTGCTGATTTGTTTTGCTTTCGTACTTTTTTTTACTTTTGGGTTATTGGCTCCAGAAACTTATTGTTTACGTTTTCCCTTGTGGGCCATTGGCTCCAACATAGCTGCTGTTTTCGCATCTTCTGACCAAACCTCAGCTTACCAAGTATGTTTCTTCAGCGCTCGACATAAAAGGCACATGGGCGCAAGCAGAACACATGCCTTAAAGATTACAAACTGTCGAAAAACATTCTTGAACAAGAAGACACTTCTTTAAAACCTTGAACAAATCAATTTAGCGATGTTGGCTCTCTCGACAAACCGGACCAGGAAAACCCGCCGTCGCGTTTTCAGCCAGTGGAAGGAAGCAAGGGCGGGCTGCGCCCGCTCCTGGCTGCCTGCCCCTGCTTTTTGCAACCCCGGCACGCACAGAAGACCCACAAAATAAAGCCGAAGCGCACAATTGGCAATCCGCAGATGGAGGATCGCTAGCACCGCAACTGTCAAAAAGAGGGCTGCCAGCCATGTAAGCTTACATGACTTGCCTGGCTCTGCCGACACCCTTTTGCAACAACTGCTTTTCCGTCAAAACATGCCATGCGATGGCGCTCGGCGATTCCACCTGACCATCACATGCTGTGCAACTGTCAAAAAGACAGCTGCCTGCCATATAAGCTTACATGACATGCCCGACTCCATGCCATAAAAGGGTGATGGGGGGTTGCCGCCCTCCCCCACCAACTCTGCTTGTGTTCAGCTCATATTTGATATTTGGGCGTTCCCTAACCGTCACTTATAATCTTACGCTTCGAGGTCACAGGTACTCCTTCTTGACCTGCTTCATGCCCCCAAGCACCCAGCCGTCGATCTCGCAAAAATGTGCCCACACCGTTACCACTATCTCAAACAGCACCTGCACCAGCACCCCAAACTGCATGCCCCCTAGCACCCTGCCGTCAATCTCGCAAATCACAGTCCCATCTTTATCAAAGTTAGAGCCCCTATCTGTAAAAAAAAAACAAATTCTTATCTCAAAATAGATTTGTAATATGATTTCAAATGGGGATGTGTTTCTAGGATTGTGTGTGTGTGTTCAATTGTCTAATTAGAAATGAGGAACAAACCCTAGTACAGTTTCTAGTTTAAAGAGAACTCAAATAGAATGGTCTTGTCGAACAAATTGTTTATTCAAATTTCTTGATTGAAACTAGATGTTCAATCGGGTTGATTGTTTGGCATAGTTTCATGATAATTTAATAAGGACACCATTCTACTAGAATTCATAGGTTTAAGGATAATTTACATAGTGTTTTTCAACAAAACAAACAATCTTATTTCAAATTAGATGTTCAAAAGGATGTCTTTTTTCGTGATGATTTTTGTTCACTTGTCCGAATAGAGCTTAAATAGAACTTAAAAGCCACCAAATATAATGTCTAGACTTAAGATGATTTGAATAGGATGTCCATTTTGAAGAGCATTGTTAATTCGGAATCTTACTTCAAGATATATTTTAAAGAGAACTTCCTTTCGCGGGATATTGTTTCTCCACTTTCTATTTAGAATTAACTGGAATCTAGTAAGGACATAATTCTAGCAGAACTTCTAATTTTGAAGATGATTCAAATATAATGTCCTTTTCAATGAAAAACACAAATTTGGAATTGTTATTCCAAATTAGATCTTGACGAGGAATTCCTTGCTTAGGATGAGCTGATGCAGGTCAATTCGCATGGGGCGTTCCAAATAAAACAACTGCAGTCCATCTCCAAAATAGCCTTCAAACAGCAAAAAGGTAGATCCATCGGGCGGGTGCATATATACATATATGTCTATATATATTTATTTATTTATGTATGTCGGCAGGTCTGGGTCTCTGGGGCCGAAACAATTCGGATTCAACAGCCAAGTTGCTGGGTATGCGGGATGTTGGCGCTTCCATCAACATGCCCATCTTCGTACCTTCGCACGGCGCGTGCAGCATGGGTTGCCCCGTTGACACGATGACACGTCAATGCTTGGCACCTATAATCCAACTTGTCCATGCAAACACACAAGCCAGAACACAACATGACAGTGTGACAGCAACCTTTCCAGCGACCTATGCACGCATTTTCGGGTTTGTTCACAAATGCGTTTGCCAACCGTCTCAGCAGTTTCTTGGGCAAGTGCACTTTTTGACAAGAGCATTGAAGGGCTGTGGCTGTGATTTTGAACATTTGGTTCCTGGTCCGTCAGCTCTGGATATGAGTTCGCCAAGAACATCAAATACAGATGAAACAGAAAGGCCGCACCTGGGCCTCACAAAGAGAGGCCCAACGAAAAGGATCGTTGGCAAATTTCAAGGTCGAGGCAGGGCCCCTTGATGCATTCCTGCCACCTTTCTGCCAGCTTATCTGTTTATTTCTGATGTGTTCAATCCCTTCACCTCCTGGTTCTGGTCTTCTCGTCCAAACATTTGGATTCCGCAACTCGGCCATCCAAAAGAACTTTAAACCCACCCCCGCAAGAAAGACTCCAAACATTAGCTCGGACCCCGCTGGGCGGCCGGCTCCTCGACAGTCCGCACATCCAGCAGCAGGACGTCGGGCTTCAGCAAGTGCTCCACCAGCTCGCCTGCGGCGCACCGCCCGCTCCCCCGGCATCGTTCCACATGGAAACAAGTCCAACCAGAGGCCAGCAAATCAACCGAAACAAATCAACTCAAACTACAGCCAAGTTCGTGAATGGTGAGAGCCCCTCAAGAGGCACAAGAGCGCT